TCCCTTCCTTCAATTCTTCCAAACCTTTCTTCCAGGTCTTCTTTCCCAGGACGTGCACGTCATCAAGGCCTATGATGGTGAGACAGAAGACAGAAGTAGTTACCAGTCCTTCTCACAGCCCAGTTTGCCTCTTCTCTCCCTCATTCCACATCTCCTTCCCTGTTGACCTACAATGACTTCAGTCCCAATACCAAAAGCAGAGGCAACCTTCTCCCATGATTTCTCCATCAGTTTCTTAATCCACATTCTTAAGCACTTCTTGGTCTTTGTCACTCAGTATTTCTGGTTTTCTAGCTAAACTCTGGGTCATATAAGGATGTCTTCAAAGTGCTGGAGGGCGAGAACCTAAGCTTATAGACTAAGGTTTGCATGGCTTAAAATCAGGAAAAAGGTGGACTGTACTGTGCTTTTTCTTCGCATCTATTTGATTTGTATGCAGAACCAATTATTCAAGAAGCTGGACTATATGAAGAAAATTGTGCCATCAGGATCCGAGGAAGACTCATTAACAACTGTATTCTCAAGACGGCAAAAATTTCCTTGCAGAGAGTGAACAAGACTTTGAGCTTTTATTGCAGATCAAAGGCTACAACTTTCAATATATGTTACCAAAACAAAAACCTTCACCGCTGGACCTACAGGCAGCTTTACAATGTTATTATGTGCTATCGAGTTGTCTGTGAGTCATAGTGGCACAATAGCTATAAACCATGCCTTATCCTTAGCCAGTCTCACTGACTCCAACACACCTAGCCCCATTACCCCTGTTACTGTGTCAATCCATCTCACCCAGGGCCTTCCTCTCCTGTGCTGTCCCACCACCTTTTTGAACAGGATGTCACCCTCCAAGGACTGGTCCCTCCTGGCTACATGTCCAGAGTATGTGAGACAGAACTGTAAAATCCTTGCCTCCAAGGAGATACTTGGTTTCACCCTCAATGGTACAGACCTGTTCGTTCTCTTGGTTGTTCATGGTATGTTCAATACTCTTCCTCAGCACCACAATTCAAAGGTGTCAATTCTCCTTCTATCATCCTTAGTCTTTGCCTAGCTCTCTGATGCATAGTGAGGAATTACAGAGACCCTGGCCTGAATCAGGAGCATGAGAAAATGCAACCTGTCAGTTCCCCCTTAGAGCTTGATTCATGAGTTTTGACCTTTAGCTTCTTAAATTGTAAGAACTCAAACTCATTGCCATGGAGTTGTAACTATCTCATAGCTCTCCTCCAGTGGGTTTTCTGAGGTTGTAAATGGCATGGGAGGTAATTGCCATCTTTCTTCTGAAGAGCTGATGGTGGATTTGAATTGCCAGGGAGCTACCCTTTGGGTTAGCAGCATAACTTCCTATAACCTTGGCCACCAGAACTCCGGCTTACACTATATGAGAATAAATTAATGATTGTTAAAAGCATCCACTTATGGTGTCTCTGTTTTAGCATTACCAAATAATTAAGAAGCCCATCTTCTATACCAGTATTTCTCAGCTTTTGCTGTACCTAGAAAACTGAAAATACTGGTATTTCGGTTGTAAGTTCTGGAGTGTGGCTTAGCCAAGGGGAAAACTGCTGACTGTCCATCTGTAAAGCCAATGCTCTCGATGGGGGAAGGGAGCAACTTTCTAAAATTAAATCAATTTAAGGAAACTGAGAGCAAAAGATGAACATGATTGCCTACTAAAAATCTTAAAGCTTCCAGATAAATACATTTTAAAACATTATTTTCCTATTACATTAATGTACAAATTTTACATATTAAAACCTTATACTGTTGGGAACAAGCTTTTCATTCATTGCTAGTGACGAAGTAATGAGGTATAACCCCTTGGAAAAACAATTTAGCAAACTATATCCACAGACATAAAAATTTACATTCTATTTCACTCATTACTTTCACTTATGGGAATCTATTCTAAGGAAGTAATTCAAATGCTGAAATAAGTCTTCAAAATGTTCATTTTGTAGCAGTATTTATGTGGTTAAAAAAAAATCAGATACAGCCTAAATATCCAAGAGCAGAATGATAAAAATATTTGTGGCCCATTCAGCGGTTGGAATATTAATGTATAAATGAAGACTTTATTATGAAAAATGTTTATGACTCACTGATAGGTGAAAACAAGCTGAACATATAGTTGTAATATAGGGAAAACTCAATAAAGATATTGCATAACCTAAACCTGTTTTAAATCAACAGTGTGGCTTTTTAGATGATATCATTTAATATTCCTATAATGCATTCTAATTTTTAATCTGACAGTTAGGGAAAATAGGCTTCTTTTGATGCTTTTTCTTTTAGCTCTCAGTATAAATTTTCAATATGCACGCTAGCTGATTTTCCCCCCTAATGTATTTGGAAGCAAAATTAGCAAATTACTTTTGTTCCTAATGGGAGTGTACTTGTCCTAAACTTGGGTGTGTAAACACAACTCACAATGACACACTGTTCCCTTCAGCCTCATTCCTTGTTAGGGACACTGAGCTCAGTTCCCCAGCCAGAGGATTAAAGGGGGCATTTGACTCCGAACTCTTATTTCAGTTTCATCAGTAATGTGATTTCTCCTGTGAATTATTTTTTTTTGTCCTTTGTGCCAAAAGGGGGGGAAATACTCAGACGTGTGGTTGAATGTGATCCTGAGAAACATTATACTTGGCTTTTCCTGAGTTGCCCTGAATAATAATCGATAAGAATTGCTTTGAGGCTCCACTTGGGTTGAAAGAGTGGGGCCTGGGGACAGAAGAGAAAAATGTAAGTGAAACTAATCATATTGTCAGTAGGCACCCGTGCTTGGGAAAAGACATCATGCTGGGGAAAGGAGAGGGTCTTCAAAGAGAGGAAGACTCTCGTGGCATAGGCTGCACAGTTACTGTGACCATGAGCCTGAGTATGGTGGAGATGGTGAGTGAGGATGGCTCATGAAAGGGCAAAGTTTCCATCTGTTGTTCACGGAGCGATTTGTAGGGTCACTGTAGCGATTCAATGGCACCTTTAAATGATAGTAGAAGTGCACTGCATAGAGAAATAAAATATATCAATGACTAATTGGAAAAAGAAGATGGTCTCTGAACTTTAAAAAAAAATAAATCACCACATAGATTGAAAATCTGAGCCTTCTGAAAGGGGCTAGGAGTTAAGTGTCTCACTTGAGGAGCTGTGGTCACTTTGTCAGCCCCTCGCTTCCAGGACCAGCCCTCATATAAGCGATCTTGTTTCAGCAGTGTTTCATGTAGAGAAGATGAAGACGCTGAGCTTTGAGAATAGAGGTCACAGTGAAACTCTGGCACAGTCAAGCCTGTTCTGGCCTTCATTCAGATTTAAGGGTTGCATCGCATCCTGTTGGAACATCAATTTTCTGAGGAAAAAAAAATACAGTCATTGCCTCCTTCCCACACTCCCACCCCTGCATTCTGGAAAGGATGTTTTATGAGCCTGCCTCTGCAAACAGGTTTAAACACGCTTTTTCTAACTTCACTGAAAATACCTTACTCAATTGATGCTTTAAAAGCACAGATTTATGTTTTTAATTTTTTTATAAAAATTCTAACTTGCTTGCAGCCTGATTCCTTCCAAACCTGTAGTAATTTTTGTGGTCGCCCAGGGTTGTGGTAAAAGGCATCGTTCATTACCCTTAGCCCAAGGTCCAGATTTGTGCCCAACAACATCCTGTGTAAACAGTTCAAACTTTGTGTGTATGCTCTAAAGATTTTTAAGACACACCTGCCTCTTTTTTTTTTTTCTGAGAAGACTCAAAAGTAGTGGGTAAGATTTACACTAGAAGCAAAGTGTAACACAATATTATTTAAAAAGCAAGGTTATACGGAAAACACAAGGAGCCCTGATGGTATAGTGATTAAGCACTTGGTTGCTAACCCAAAGATCAGGAGTTCAAACCTACCAGCAACTCCATGAAAGAAAGGGCAGTCTGCTTCTATAAAGACTGCAGCCTTAGAAACACTTAAAAACAGTTCTACATTGTCTTAAAAGGTCTCTCTTGAAAGCAATGGGGGAGGGGCGTTTAGAGAAACACACCTGTTTGTCATTGTATAGTTAGAAGTCTTTGGGACAAAAGGCAACAAAGCATTTATGTTACATTTGGGATTTGCATAAATAGAATTTGGGACTCGTTAAAGTGATACAAGTGCGGAAGCCTTTCTATGGAATTCACAGTTGACTGTAAATGCAGCTTCATGGACATCCTTTACGTGTGGTTCCTTCCTGTCAGGTGTGCTCTGGAAACAGAGGGAATGGGTGGGCAGGTGGCCTGGGGAAGCGGGGGCTCTGAAGCAGCCATCATAGTTCCACAACAATTAGGGGAAATTGCTGACACTAATTTTTGCAGTAAAAAGGAAGAGAGGAGACCACCAAACGCTGGGGAATAGGCAGCAGAAGCAGTTAACACTGACTTCTAGTCAGCATTTGTTCACCCTTTGGCATTTTTCACAGACGGTTTCTTCTGAGTCTCATAATCAGGCTCTTGGTGAAAGGTCAGCTTCGGCATTGTGATGCCATTCAGGTAACACTAAAGGGACTGGGAGGGAGGACAGTGAGGCAGTTTGGAAACCGCGGCGAGAGTTAGGAAAGGCCTAGCATGGAACTAAGACTTAGAGCCGGGCTTCCATAGCTGCTTCTTTTTCTAGGTCACCAGTGCTGCATTATGAGGTAAAGGTGAATCACAACAGGATTTGCTAGATATTGTTGAATTCTAAGATACCAGGCTGAGCAGGCTCCCCCCTGGTCATGGAAGTGCATGGGCAGATTGCTGTTTCATCTCTGCTTCCTATCTCCCTTTATGGGGAAAAGACAAATTAAGACATCATCAAAAGACTATGGTCACATTTTAATATGACATTAAAGAGATGAAGTCAATAAAAAATACATAATTACAGGAAAGCAAAGCCAGTGGTGTAAGTATCTTTTGGAAAACAGTACATTTATGGGGAAGGGTAGGAAGTGGCAAATATTTCCTTTCTATTCTTAAGTTTATCCTCCACATACTTTAAAAGAGTTGTCTAGCACTGGTGCGGGCTTTTATGTGGATGCCACTGAAAATCCTTGGAAAACGCACTACAGAATGTACTCTTACATAACACAAGAGCTTCCTACACTCATAAATGCCAGTTTTCCAGTGGATCCCCAAAGAATGTCTATTTTTGGCCATTCCATGGGAGGTCATGGAGCTCTGATTTGTGCTTTGAAGAATCCTGGAAAATACAAATCCGTTTCAGCATTTGCTCCAATTTGCAACCCAGTGCTCTATCCTTGGGGCAAAAAAGCCTTTGGTGGATATTTGGGGTCAGATCAAAGTAAGTGGAAGGCTTATGATGCTACCCATCTTGTGAAGTCCTATCCAGGTTCTCAGTTGGACATACTGATTGATCAAGGAAAAGATGACCAGTTCCTTGCAGATGGCCAGTTACTTCCCGATAACTTCATAGCTGCCTGCACAGAAAAGAAAATCCCTGTTGTTTTTAGATTGCAAGAGGGTTATGATCACAGCTACTATTTCATTGCAACCTTCATTAGTGATCACATCCGACACCATGCAAAATACCTGAATGCTTGAAGAGCTAGAAGCACTTCAGAATCATAAATGTTCTAATAAATCAAATTGCAAGAAGGAAGAAAGATGATTTCATAATGCTGAAAGTGTTTCACTCTGTAAGTGAAATCACCTAAATAAATACCTAAACACATAGGGTCTAAAATGCAAAGAAACAAATAAGGGAGTTACTGAAATGTGACTGAGATGCAGCCTACACACAGAAGACTGTGAGGTCTGGGTACCTGTCATTGAGACAGAGTTGCAGCCGTCAGATCCCACCCCCCACCCCCCTTTCTGGCATTGACTTTCTGGGAGAGTGGTCTTTTCACTCATCTTCCCTCAGGGATCCTGCTCAGTTGATATTGCCAGTTCTGTTACATTTTCTACAGATGATCCAACTGCTTAATTGCCCAGGACTTCCTATTACTCCATGTTTCTGTGCTCGATAGAACTAGGTCAACCAGAGAATGGCCTTGGCACACTAACTCATAATCAGGTAAACTAGTGACTCAAAGAATCAATTATTTTAACAGTCTTATTCTCAGTGAGATGATAAATTTGCATTATTTTAAGATGGTCGAAGGAAAAAGTCATTGCTGTAGAATCAGAATTGACTCACAGCGAACTCCTCATTGGGTTTCTAAGGCTGTAATTAGAGAGGAGGGGATGGTCCATTGTTCTCCCACAGAGCTGATGGTTGATTTGAACCACCAGCAAGCTGCGTCCCTTTGGTTAGCAGCACAACTCTCTTTGGCCTAGGCAACCAAAGATCCCTTTTAAGGCACTAATTGGTGTTACAGAGCCCTTTTGACACATCAGTTAAGCACTCAGCTTCAACTAAAAGGTCAGTCATTCCAACTTACCAGTAACTCCAAAGGAGAAAAAAACCTGGCCATCTGCTCTTGTGCAGAATACAGTCTTGTTGTTGTTGTTGTTGTTGTTAGGTGCTGTCGAGTCAAGTACAACTCATAGTGACCCTGTGAACAAAAGATCTGAACCCTACTCTATCCTTCACCATCCTGACACACTTTTGCCCATTGCAGAAGTTACCTTAGCAATCCACCTGGTGGGGGGTCTTTCTCTCCTTCACTGAGCCTCCACCCTTGCCAGCATCCTTATCTCCAATGAATAGCCCCTCTTAGTAACATGCCCAAAATATGTGAGGTGAAGCTTCTTCATTCTTGCCTCCAAAGACCACTCCAGCTGCACCCTCTCCAAGACATACCTGTTTGTTCTCTTGGCCATCCATGGGATGTTTAGTGTCTTTCCCAACACCACAGCTCAAAGGCATCAATTCTTTTTCTGTCATCCGCATTCATTGTACAGCTCTAGGTGCATAGCAAGTGATTGGAAAGACTATGGCCTGAATCAGATTCACTTTAGTCCTCAAATTGACATCATTACTCCTCAATGATTTGGAGAGGTCCCTAACTGAAGATTTTCTCATTGTAATGTGGCTCATTATTTCATGACTGCTGGTACCAAGAGTGTTTATTGTGGATCCAAGTAAGACAGTTTCAATCTCCTTTCCATCCATCATGAAGTTGCCTATCAGTCCAGTAGTAAGAATCTTTGTTTTCTTGACATTGAGATGAAATCTATACTAAAGGCTGTAGTCCTTGATCTTCTGCAACAAGTGCTTCAAGTTCTCCTTACTTTCAGCAAGCAAAGTTGTGTCATAGGAAACTCTATTTTGTTGTTGTTATTGTTGGGTGCTGTCAAGTTGAGTATGATTCATAGCAATCCTATGAACAGTGAATCTGAACCTTGCCCTATCCTCTGCCATCGTCATCATTCACTCAAAGGTATACAGCTGAGATCTGAACCCAGCTCTTATTCTGAAGACAGTTCTCTCATACTATGCTCATTATTGTGCTGTGCCTTCTATATGCTAGGTGGTCTTCTAAACACTTAAACATCACAATGCTAGAAAGGAGAGATTAATATTGACATAAGTAGGAGGAGGCAAATTAAGAGAGGCTAAGTCAATCACTTGCACATTCATTGCTGTAGAGTTGGAACAGACTCATAACAGGCCTACGCCCTCTATTGTTTTTCTGAGGCTGCAAACTGCATGGGAGGAGATTACCCATCCTTCTCCCAAAGAGTCACTGATGGATTTGAACCACCAGAAATGCATGACCTTTGGGTTAGCAGCTCCAGGCCCTATGAGCACTGCCTAATGTCACACAGCTAGGAAATAACAGACCTAGGATTTGATCTGGCAGCCTGGCTGCAGATTCTGGGCCCTTCACTCCTGTGAGGCACAGCCTTTCCAAGCCCCAGCCTCCTAAGGTTGTCAGCACATCAAACACTCATTGAGCACCTGCCCTGGGCCAACTTAACACCAACACTGAAAGAAGAGGGCAAGGGGGGGCACAGATTTCTGGGCCCAAGAAGTTCACCAAGTGTACTTAATAGGTCAGTAGGACTGGAGACCTCTACAGGCCCCTCTGAGGGTGGGTCTGCCCACACCTCCAGGTTTACTTTCACAAACCATAACACAGTTCTTTTTTGGAAATCTTTACAATGCACAGGCCTCTGTGCTGTCAGGGAGGCTGAGAAATAGAAAGAGCCTGACTGTGGCTTTATCTCCTTAGATAGAGGAGAAATCCGCAGTTATGTGGGACCTAAGGAAAGCCAAGCTTTTGATGTTGTCCAGCCCTGCCAGCAGAAAAAGGCAGCAGCTAGGATGGAGGATGACCATAGAATCTAGACCACAGGCTGCTTAGCCACAAATCAGAGAGCTGAGTACCTTCAACCTAAACCTGAGACTTTCGCAGACAACTTGAAGGATTTGTCTCAAATCTACAGTCCATTTAATCCCTTTAGTCCCTGAATTAAGCAGAGGCTTGGGGATGGTCTAAGAGCTCCTCAGGCCAGGGACACTGATTAAGCATCCATTCTACCTCGGATCTCCTTGGATAGAGAGAAGTCCTGCTAAAAAAGCATGAACTTTGAAGCCAAACTCACTCATGGGAATCTAGAATGGGATCTGAGGAAATAGCTGAACCTCCATACTTTATCCATACCATGATTACTTTATCCATATAATGAATCTATTAACAGTGAGAATTAAACCCAATCATAATATAAAGTACAGAGCATAGAGTACATGTTCAATTAATGTTGTTGTTGTTACATGCTGTCGAGTCGCCTGTGACTCACAGCAACCCTATGTACAATAGCCCTAAACTCTGCCCTATCCTGTGCCAATCTCACTATCTCTGACACTCCCATCCCTATTACCCCAGTCACTGAATCAATCCACCTCATAGAGGGTCTTCCCCTCCTGTGCTGTCCCTCCACCCTCCCAAGCACGATATCCCTCTCCAAGGACTGGTCCCTCCTTGCAACATGATCAAAGTATGTCAGATGAAGCTTCTGAATCCTTGCCTCCAATGAGCAGCCTGGTTTAACACTCTCCAGAACAAACTTATTTGTTTTCTTAGCAGTCTGTGATATACTCAAAACTCTTCTCCAATACCACAGTTCGAAGACATTAGCTATTATTAAAACTTGACCCCAGCTGTCAACTCGTCTCTTTCTGCCCTTTTCCTAGATTCCCTCTACAATTACTCTCTTTCCTTAGGTTTGTCCAGTAGTACACACATATACACAAACATTATATATTTGTATATATACACATGCATACACACATATATACATACACACAAATACACACAGACATACCTGCCACAATATCTATACCACATTGTAAACATGTTTGAAGCCTCCTCTGCTAGACCATAAGACCATGAACTTTCATACCTGGGCTTAGTTTTGTCTGTGCACACAGCATTGCCAGCCACTCTCTCTTTGTTCACCGTTGGTTGGAGATTAAGCTGAATACTATCCTAGTCTTTCTTGGTAACTTTCTCTACTACAGCTTTAAGGGCTTGAACAGATGTGACTGCTGATCCAGAGAGAGGTTTCCTCTAGAGACCTTCATGGGTCTTCATCCAGCAGTGGACCAAGGTGAGGAAAGAGATCAGAACTCAAACCCAGGGCCATGTTCCTATGCAGCAGCAGCAGACATGTTGATTCTTATTCTTACTTCTTTGACCTGCTGACCACTTTACTGACCCAAATACCCTGCATTGCAACGGCTTCCTCAATAGCTTCCTACAGCCTCCTGTGCTTCCATTCTTCTCCAATTTTTCCTGCATACCACCAGTCCTCACACTGTAACATCTTGTTAGAATGCAGATCCTGATTCAGTGGGATTGACGTGGGGCTGAGGGACTGTGGTTCTAACAAGTTCCCAAAAGACATAGATGTTGCTGGGCCTGGGTGGATCAACCAGTAAGCATGGCATGCATTGCCCCCACCAAAAAAAGAGCATAGTGGTACAGTGTGTTAATCCACAGTCTGTCTATGGGAGAAAGAGGAGGTAGTCTGTTCTAATAAAGATTTATACCCTTAGAAATCCTATGTGCAGCTCTATATGCTATGAAGTTGACAGTAGGGACAATTTACACTGGCTTATAGTTCGTGAGATACACATGTGTTTATTTACTAATGTTTAATGCCCAACGTCACCAGTTTTTCCACCATGTCCTTGGGTTATCCATCCCTGCTAATGGTCCTTCATTTTGAGTAGCAAGGTTTTGCACCACAGTCAAGATAGCCTTCCAAACCTGTAACTATGATCATATCACTTCAAATCACTTCAGCGGACCTGAACAAACCTTCATCAGAAGACATAAGAATGCCAAATGTGCACTTAAAAAGATGCAACAATTCATACTACTAATTGTAGTTGGTTGCCACTGAACTGGTGACATGTTGTCACCATAGCTGACCCTGGTGGGTTTTCAGTAGCTCCTCACACAGAATGACATAGTCCGTCATTCTCATACAGGGTACCTGATAGATTTGAACCACTTGTCCTTGGGATGGCATTGCAACTTCTTACCACTAAGCCACCAGAGCTCCCTATGGTATAGTCATAGGGAATTGTACCAACCTGCAGGTGTCACTTCGCTGCTGGTTCAAATCCACCAGTAGCTCTGACGAGG